AGAAGCACGGCTACTGTCGAAAGAGACATCAGCACAGAAGGCGGAACTGATTGCATTAACAAGGGCCTTGCAATTAGCTGAAGGGTTGAGAGTGAATATTTACACAGATTCGAAATACTCTTTTCTAACCACCCATGCCCATGGAGCATTGTATAAAGAAATGGGATTGTTGAATTCAGAAGGGAAAGAAATCAAGTATGCAGCAGAAATACTCCAACTATTAGAGGCGGTATGGGAACCAAAGGAAGTCAGTATTATACATTGCAGGGCACATCTGAAAGGTGATAGTGATGTAGTAAAAGGAAATTGCATGGCCGAAAGTGCAGCAAAACATGCCGCTGAATCCGGGCAAGAGGAATATGTGGGGTATGTTGCTGCCCTTGTGCCAGCACCTCTGTCTCAATGGACTCCGATATTTACAACCCAAGAGATGGAGTGGTTAAAGACTGAAGCTAGGAAATACTTGGAGAATAATTGGTATCAGTTAGAAGATGGAAGAATAGTTATTCCGACATCTCTGGCTATAGAGATTGTTCAGAACTTCCATAATGGTACACATTCAGGAAGAGATAGTATGGAAGAATCTCTCAGGAAACATTTCTACATACCAAGATTATTCAATCTTACTCAAGCTATTGCTCAAAGATGTATTTTGTGTGCTCGAAACAATGCAAGACAAGGCCCTGTCAAACCGCCTGGAGTACAATATATGGGAGGACTCCCAATGTCAGATTTGCAAATAGACTACACTGTAATGCCTAAATCTGGGGGATATCGCTATTTGTTGGTAGCTGTGTGTACCTACTCAGGTTGGGTAGAAGCTTGTCCAACTCGTACAGAAAAGGCAGGAGAAGTTTGTACGATTTCTCTTGCGAGAAGTTATACCCAGATATGGGCTTTCGTGTTCTATCGGATCAGACAATGGTCCAGCCTTTATCCACCAGTGTTTACAACAATTGACTCATGTGCTTGGTATTAAGTGGAAACTTCATATAGCATATAGACCTCAGAGTTCTGGGAAGGTGGAAAGGTTGAACAGAACAATAAAAACCCAATTGGCTAAAATGTGTCAGGAAACTCAGCTCAAGTGGAATGTCCCTTTGCCAATAGCTCTGTTGCGGATACGTTGTACTCCTACAAGAAGAATGGGTCTGTCTCCCTTTGAAATCGTGTATGGGCGTCCACCTCCCATACTCAGTAATCTAAGGGGACTTGAATCAGTTGGGTGAAGGAATTACTCGGCAGCAGGTTGTAGAGTTGGGTAAAACTATGGAGGAAGTACAGAAATGGGTGCAAGATAGGTTACCTGTGAACATATATCCACCTGTTCATTCCTATCAACCGGGAGATCAAGTGTGGATAAAAGAATGGAATATTGTTCCATTAGGACCAAAGTGGAGGGGTCCTTATGTTGTTCTTTTATCTACTCCAACAGCTGTAAAGGTGGCAGAAGTGACTCCGTGGATTAATCATTCTAGAGTTAAACCAGCGGCAGATTCTCGGCAAGCTATTCCAGATTCTGAAAATCCTTGCAAGATCCGGTTAAAGCGGGTAACTCAGTCGGAGTAAGAAATAATACGAGGAGATATTGGGACATCTTAGTTGAAAGTAACAACAGATATCAGCAAGTAGGTGTTTTGACGGCCATAATAAAGCCTGACCACCTACCTACGTGTCATAGCCAGAGTATCTTGAAGGGACCTCTGTGAAGAAAAGTGAGGATCAGAAGAATGACAATCCTTGCAGCCCTCACAATTGAGAAGCTGAGGTGCCGACGCACGGTCGAAGAGTAGAAATGAGGACTTCTGAAATAATATGTTATATTATGTGTTTAGGCATTTTTGTGATTTTTCAGGAAGGTAAAGGTGAGGACATACAGAGTTGTGTTAGCTGCATTAAGACCACGAAAACAGGTAATCAAATATCCCAAACTCTCATTTGGCACTCACAGTATGAGTGTAGGGGATCTTTATCTAAGTGTAGATATTACATATAGATTACAGTGTGTGCAAACCAATATCAGGAGAGCATAAATGTTTTGATCCCCAATTCCAACCCCATACAATTTGGTTGGTAATTCGGAACAGTAACTCCCAGGGGACCTTGATAAATAGGACTGTGATAAATACCATACATTCTACGGGCATTCTACTATTTGATGCATGTAAGGCGATCTCGGGTAGTGGAAAACCTTGGAATGTATGTGGTAATCTTAAATGGGAACGAACTTATGGGTTTAATGATAAATATTTATGTCCCAGTAAAAGATCTACTGATCCTGATTGCCCAAATAGGGATTTTAATTTTTGTCCATATTGGTCTTGTGTAGGGTGGGCGACCTGGGGAAAAACAGTAGATCAAGATATGATTATCCAAAGGTTGCCCACTACACCACACTGTAAGTCTATGGAATGTAATCCTGTCCATATGACCATCTCTAATCCACAACATTTTATTGATAAGTTTGGAAATCTATTTGGGTTCCAAAAATATGGCACAGGAGTAGATCCAGGGACCATAATATATGTAGGACTTGAAACTGAGACGATAGCAACTCAAACTCATCAGGTTTTTCATTCATGAGTGTTGAGGATAAAATTCCCCATAATGTTAAGAACCAGTTATTGATTTGGCTGAGAGTATTGCGGGTAGTATTAATGTAACTAATTGCTTTGTATGTGGAGGTACTAATATGGAGACTAGTGATGTCCCGAACGGTTCACCGCAAACGGTTCGCCGTGGACTCATCATTGAGTAAACTTTGACCCTGTACCTCACAGTCAGCAGACACATTCCAGCCAATCAGCAGCAGACCCTCCCTCCCAGACCCTCCCACCTCCTGGACAGCTCACTAAGAAAGCAGCTTCAAAATGGATGCTGTCCAGGAGGTGGGAGGGTCTGGGAGGGAGGGTTTGCTGCTGATTGGCTGGAATGTGTCTGCTGACTGTGAGGTACAGGGTCAAAGTTTACTCAATGATGAGTCCGTGGCGAACCGTTCGTGGCGAACCGTTTGCGAACCGTTCGGCAAACCGTTCGGGACATCACTAATGGAGACCAGTGGCCATGGGAGGCAAAGCAAGTATGGTACCCTGGTTCTGAGACAGATGAACAACAAATACTTTCTCAGTATGATCATCAAGTAAGTACTAGAGGTAAATCAGAGTGGCGGTTAAAAACCTCTATGATATGTCATGTATGTTTAGCCAGGAAAGGGCCATTGTATACCACGCCCGTTGGTGAGTTAACATGTCTAGGACAGAAGGCCTATAATGCTGATACTAAAGATACTACTTGGTGGTCAGCTTCAGATGTCTCAGAACCTACTAATCCGTTTGCCAATTACACCCATTTAAAAGAGGTATGGTTTGGCTTATCTGCTACATCCAATTGGAAGGCCCCAGCGAATTTATATTGGATCTGTGGTAAGAACGAATATTCAGAATTACCACAAGATTGGGAAGGGGCATGTGTATTAGTTATGCTCAAGCCATCCTTCTTCTTGTTGCCAATTGAGACAGGAGAGACCATGGGAGTTAAGGTTTATGATGTAAATCATAAAAAGAAGTGAGCATCCTTGAATATAGGTAGCTGGGAAGATGATGAGTGGCCTCCCCAACGCATTATTAATTATTATGGACCTGCTACTTGGGCAGAAGATGGTACCTATGGATATAGAACCCCAATATATATGCTCAACCGTATTATAAGACTACAGGCGGTGGTTGAGATTATGACTAATGAGACAGCTCAAGCACTTAATCTTCTAGCTAAGCAAAATACTCGGATGAGATCAGCCATCTATCAAAATAGATTAGCTCTGGACTACCTATTAGCATTAGAGGGAGGTGTATGCGGAAAGTTTAATCTCAGCAACTGTTGTTTGCACATAGATGATGAAGGGCGGGCAGTGGCTGAATTTACAAGCCACATGGTAAACTGACACATGTACCTACTCAGGTCTGGAATGGGTATAATCCTAGTAGTTGGTTTGGAAGTTGGTATGAGCAGCTTGGAGGGATTAAGGCGTTAGTAGGAGGAGTAGTATTCATTATATTCTGCCCTGCCTAATTCCATTAGTGGTCAGATCTAAACGTAGTATCATAGAGAGTACTATAGAAAGAAAGACAGCTGCTCATGTAATGGCTGTCTATAGATATGAATCCCTAGCCCAAAGAGAACATATTCAGGATGAGGAATGCTGAAGGAGTTTGTGATGATGCTAAGATACTTACAAGGTCTGTTCTGGTCCATGGCTACTTGAGAGGTGTTGGTAAACTATGATTGGTGATGCATCTGGAATAATTTGTATCAGAGACATCAAAGGGGGGAATGTGATGGAATTTTGGTGAAATGTAAATTTAGTAGGCCGAGATTTCCACGTGGCATATGTGTATGTTGTATCAGTTAGTTAGTTACACGTAGCTTAGATACTGTCATCAATGTACTGAGCATGTGCAGGAATGCAGGAACTGAAATCACATTCCTTTCTCCTTTGTTTCGGATGAGCCATGTGGTCTGCCCATATAAGGAAATCCAAATCCTGTCCACTGATTGGTTAAGGGTATGTGTGGGTGGATCTATTAATGGGAGGAGTTATAGTTCTATAAACAGCATGTACTCCATGTGTTCGGCCCTCAGACCTGTTTTGGAACGTTAGTTCATCTGAGACCTGATCGGTACGTTAATAAAGACCTCTTACTTCCTGAAAACCTGCATCCATCTCTCTGTGTCTGGCTTCTGCAAGTTTACTCGGTTACAGTATAACTATAACAGAGTTGACTATTTTTCCAAATCAGTACTTTTTGTTTAAATTTTGCCATTTAAATTTTCAATTTATTTAAGTTCACCATTTATTCACTAAAATCTCAATTGCAGATCTGGATGTATAGTGAGGGGAAAAAGTATTTGATCTCCTGCTGATTTTCAACGTTTGTCCACTGACAAAGAAATGATCAGTCTATATTAGTATGTTTATTTTAACAGTGAGAAACAGAATAACAAAAACAAAATCCAGAAAAACGCATGCCAAAAAAGTTATAAATTGATTTGTATGTCAATGAGTGAAATAAGTATTTCATCCCCTAGCAATCAGCAAGATTTCTGGCTCCCAGTTTTCTTTTACACAGGTAACGAGCTGTGATTAGGAGCATTCTCTTAAAGGGAGTGCTCCTAATCTCAGCTTGTTACCTGTATAAAAGACACCTGTCCACAGAAGCAATCAATCAGATTCCAAACTCTCCACTATGGCCAAGACCAAGGGGCTATCCAAGGATGTAAGGGACAAGATTGTCGACCTACACAAGGCTGGAATGGGCTACAAGACCATCGCCAAGCAGCTTGGTGAGAAGGTAACAACAGCTGGTGCGATTAATCGCAAATGGAAGAAACACAAAATAATTGTCAGTCACCCTTGGTCTGGTGCTCCATGCAAGATCTCACCTTATGGACTTTCAATGATCATGAGAACGGTGAGGAACCAGCCCAGAACTACACAGGAGAATCTTGTTAATGATCTCAAGGCAGCTGGAACCATAGTCACTAAGAAAACAATTTGTAACCCACTACACCGTAAAGGACTGAAATCCTGCAGGGCCCGCAATGTTCCCCTGCTCAAGAAAACACATGTACAGGCCCATCTGAAGTTTGCCAATGAACATCTGAATGATTCAGAGGTGAACTGGGTGAAAGTGTTGTGGTCAGATGAGACCAAAATCAAGCTCTTTGGCATCAACTCAACACACCGTGTTTGGAGGAGGAGGAATGCTGCCTATTACCTCACTGTCAAACATGGAGGTGGAAACATTATGTTTTGGGGGTGTTTTTTTCTGCTAAGGGGATAGGACAACTGCACCGCATCAAAGGGACGTTGGACAGGGCCATGTACCATCAAATCTTGGGTGAGAACCTCCTTCCCTCAGCCAGGGCATTGAAAATGGGTCATGAAGGGGTATTGTAGCATGACAATAACCCAAAACACACATCCAAGGCAACAAATGAGTGGCTAAAGAAGAAACCCATTAAGGTCCTGGAGTGGCCTAGCCAATCTCCAGACCTTAATCCCATAAAAATTCTGTGAAGGGAGCTGAAGGTTCGAGTTGCCAAACGTCAGCCCCGAAACCTTAATGACTTGGAGAGGATCTGCAAAGACGAGTGGGACAAAATCCCTCCTGAGATGTGTGCAAACCTGGTGGCCAACTACAAAAACATCTGACCTCTGTGATTGCCAACAAGGGTTTTGCAGGGGATCAAATACTTTTTTCCCTCACTGTATGTTTGCACTGGCACAGCCCTAAATACACCCTAGAGCCCCCATCCCCCTAAACATACACTATCCCTCCTATGCACAAACAGCCACTATTCACATCCACACAAATAGTACACTGCAAACCGTTCCATCCATACACACACACACAGCCCCACAACAGCCTCCCTCCCACACAAGCAATTCTACAAGCAGCCTCCATATATGTGCAGCAACCCCTGACACACTCAACCCCCAAAACGGCATCACTTGAAACATGCAAAACCAGAAGTGCCATATCCTCACACACAGCACCACAAGCAGCCACACATGCAAATCTTACAATTAACATCCCTACCAACATGCAAAATCACAAGCAACCTCTCCACACACACCTATACAGTGTATAACCAACAAAATGAGCAGAAGATATGAAATCAGTGCATTCAAAGGCACTGATCTCTTTGCCTTCTTACTTTTATACCACAAAAGATTTAGAGCACTATCTGTCAGGGTGTTAATGGGAGCATAGGGCCTGCCACTGGTGTTTTGAATCTGTTCAAGTTTCTCTTATAACGTGGTTTATCAAGGATTTGTAACCTTTTATGTCTTTGTTGATGAGTTGAAGCTAGATATATGACTTGGGCACAGCTTTTTTATTTCATTTCTATTTGATTGTACAGCTTTGCGGAATTTGTTGGTGCTTTATAAATAATAATGAAGTCTTTTTGTGTGTGCATTACTTTACTACCGAAAATCACCAGGAGGGGGCTCCCTGTGCTTCCTAGTAGTCCCCAAGTCCCAGTAAGTAATCTTGAAAGTGTTCAGACATTTACATTTGTTTTCGTGTTACATTATTAGAGCATGCCTTCTGCAGTTAATGATAATTTTTTTACTAAATTGTTTGCCAGACTTTTTCAGAAGAAATACATTATTTCCGAAAGACTCATTTGGGCACCTTTTCGTTCCATAGTATTACACTTTTTCTAACGAAACACACATCTATGTAAAACGAAACCTGTGTATCACACAAGAGAAAATGGGTTATTTGTCTTTTTTGACAGACCTGTTGCTTTCATTCTCTGCAAAGTCTCAAGGTTTTTTTTGGATGTCAAGTACAATAGCATATTTTTTTTGGTCTAAACATCAGTTTAGACAACCTATTTTTCCTCAGGTGTAACAAGAGAATAGGATACTATGTTATGGACAGGAAGTGAAACCTTTGTGGTGCCAGGCATACGCACCACATCAAAGCTGTCATATAATCCCCAGCTTATTATTCACAGCAGCCCACCCTGAATAAACTTTGTGTAAAATCAGGTTCAGCCATTGATATTTTCCTAACTTAGTAACTTAAGTATGCACCTTATTAAATGTAAATATATGTTACAATTTTAAATAAGTTAAAAAAATGGGTTAAAATTAGAAACAAAAACATAAAAAAAATTATGAAACCAGTATAACCATAATAAAAAGTATGCTAAAAATTTATTTCTTGCATTTTTTCATGTCACTTACCTAAAAAAAAAACAAGATTTGAACTCCGATTGGATTTGATATATTCTCGTTATCTTGGCCCTATCTTCGCCGTATGTTACCAGGACTTGAAGCGCCATTGTGAGGTAAACATTTGTGGCGTCTGGAAATACTTTTCCTACGTATGTTTTTAGTGGTACCATTTTCCATTCATTATATAATATATATTCGTACAGTAGTATAATGCATATTTTACACAGAGACTGTCTGTAAACTGTGTTAAGAGTATTAATCTGTTACAGCAGCTTTAATGGGACATTCCAAGCACCATAACCACTACCAATTATCAGCTACCTGACAATTCAACCAAATGTGCACAAAGATGGTTGTCAGAATGGGGGACTGGGAAAGACGGGCTAGTGAGTTCCATGCCCAGAGTGCCTTTATTATAATGCCTGACAGGGCAAACTTGTTGGTATGTTACAAATACTAAAGTGTTACAAAAGAATATTAGGAAGATGCAGGTCAGAATATTTAGATTGAACAATTATTTTCCTCTTTATGCACCTAAAACAGCTGTTACCAGTCAGATAACTAATCACTGATTGCTTCTAGTTCAATTATTTACTCCCTTCATTTTTTCCCCAGTCTGTTTATTTGGTGCCTTTGACATATCTTGTAGGAGACACAGGGATGTTTACATTCATTAAAAAGACAGGGAGCCCCCCATAGATAGAGGGAGGAGAGCATCTCTGAGAAATTGGTTGTACTTGTTACTGTCCTTCAGAAATAAAATATGTCAAGATAGTTTGTTACCATAAAGTTAGAACGCACCATCCGACTATGAAGGAGACGGCAAATAAATAACTCTTCTCCTACCTATAAAATAGGAACAGAAGTATAATTAGACGTATTTTCGAAGTGCTTTGTATTCTTGGCTACTTTCTTTAGGAACAAACATTCTTGAGAAAAGTTGTTTTGCTCCTGAATATTTTGTATCCCTGCAAGGGCTTCTTGGGACTGATAATGAGGACATTGTGCTATCACCAATAGTTGCAATGGGCACACTCTTACTGCAGTTGGTTATTGTAAAGCAATGCCTTCTGTAGTTCAATATAGACATCTTTGACAATTAGAAGAACTGAAGAATTTGTCACAACTTTACTGTAAAATTAAAGAATGGTTTGCTGAGGGAATAACATATAAATAATTTGTGAAAAGCCACTGGCTAAAGCCACTGAGCTGTTACACGCATGGACCTTGGAAAGTAGTGGAGTAGTACAAAAATGAAATAAAGGAACCCCCTTTAACAAGTACATGTATTATGTTTGATTTTGGATATTTTCAATTACATGGGTGGTAGTAATTATTATTATTATTGTTATTTATACATCGTCAACAGATTCCGTAGTGCGTTACAATATTATGAGAGGGGGGATTTAACTATAAATAGGACAACTACAAAAAAACTTACGGGAACAATAGGTTGAAGAGGAACCTGCTCAATCGAGCTTACAGTCTATAGGAGGTGGGGTGTAAAACACATTAGGACAGGAATTTGCAGTCAAATAAGGTGGGCTGCCCTTTAGGAGAGAGCAAGAGACAAGTATGTGAGGTAGAGGTTAGTCTTGGAGGCCATAAGCTTTCCTAAAGAGATGGGTTTTAAGGCACTTCTTAAAAGATGCAAGACTAGGGCAGAGTCTGATGGCGGTAGGCAGGCTATTCCATAGGAAGGGAGCCGCCCGCAAGAAGTACTGCAAGGGTGAGTTGGCCGTACGGGTGCAGACAACGGACAACAGGTGGTCACGGGCAGAGCGGAGAGACCGAGAAGGGACATACCTATGGATCTGTGAAGAGATATGAGGGGCTAGTGTTGTTCAGTGCTTTATAGGTGTGAATTAGTACCTTGAATTGACTCCTATAGCATACAGGAAGCCAATGTAAGGACTGGCGGGGTGAGGTGTGAGAGAAACAACTAAAGAGGAAAATCAGTCTGGCAGCAGCATTCATTATGGACTGTAGCAGTGCAGTACGGCTTTTGGGAAGACCAATCAGGAGAGGGTTACAATAATCCATGTGGGAAATTACTACAGCATGGACAAGCTCCTTGGTTGACTTGGTACATAATGCATTGAAGAAATAGACACATTTTACGACACACACACTTTTAATATTGCACACATACAGGGAAATTTTGATGCTCGCATAATTATATTGCACGAACACACATAGAACATGGACATAAGCACATACTATTAATGGAGGGATTGCCACTCCTAAATTTCAAAACTTTTAAGACTGCCTTGTTTGTGCTGGTATGGTACATATATATCTGAATGGATTGTATGCCTGAGGAAAAAAATATGTTTTTTGGCTGTATAGAAAACATTTTATTCATCATTTATATGTGTATGTTCTTTTGGTTTTAGGTTTACTGAAAAGAGGGGGTTATTATTGTGTTTGACTGAGGAGCTGGATTTGCAATTACCATATTTTTTTGTTTGTAGTCATGTTTCACCACTAGAGTGTGCTGTTGGATAGCTATAGGTCATGCTCTCTGTTCATAACTTTAGAAAAGAACATAGTGAATTATTTTGTGTCCACCTTTAATGGTACATTGCACGCACCATAACCACTACAGCTCACCTCTTCCATACTGCATTGAGTCTATCCACTAAACATAGAGTTGTAGTGAATTGAAAACTAAATTTCAAAAACGTAGGCTAAAACAGTCAATTTGTCTGAGTTGGAATATTTTTCTCAGTCCAGGCCTGTGGGCAGGCAGTGTAGGGTCAATGGATGGGGCATATCCATGTCAAAATTAGCTTCATGGGTGACATATCTATCCAAATCTTTGAGTCTCAGTTATATGATATAATCGTGCAGGCTCAGTTTACAGAGTTTCTGGCATCTGGTAATGACTGTCAGGGTGATTTACTAAAGTAAGATTTTCATGGCTTTAAATGTGAAATTCTCCCTTCAGTGAATAACTCTGTGGGAGAAGTGTGACAATAGTGGACTAGAGGGTATAAAATGTCATAATCTGTGAGCCTGGGTAAGTGTTGTAAGGGACGAGTGTAAGTGATAGTTTGTATCTGTGTGTTTGTGACAGTGTGTATCAGTGCATGTATAGCAGTGTGTATCATTTGTATAATAACAAGAATTGTATTCATCAGATGGCCTACCTTTAAAATATACTACTAATTTAAAAATAAGTTCACGTTTCAGTCCCAGTTTGGGACTTTCCTCAGGACCCCCTCAGAAAGCCCTTTCTATCTAAAAAGAACTTGGCAGCACGGTTTAGGTTTGCAAAGTCGCATCTGACGCCTTAAACAATGTCCTTTGGACAGACAAGGCCAAAGTGGTGTTGTTTGGCCATAATGCACAGTGCCACATTTGGTGAAAACCAAACACAGCATATCAGCACATACACCTCCTGCCAACTGTCGAGCACAGTGGGGGAGACATGATGATTTTGACTTGTTTTGCAGTCACAGGACCTGGGGACCTTGCAGTCATTGAGTCATTGACTATGAACTCAACTGTGTACCAAAGTAGAAGAGAATGAATGATTTACCATTGCCCAGTCAAAGTCCAGGCCTCAACCAGATTGAAATGCTGTGGCGGGTCCTTAAGAGAGCTGTGCAGAAACAAATGTCAGCAAACCTTAATTAATTGAAGCAACGTTGTAAAGAAGAGTGGGCCGAAATTCCTCCATAACCATGTGACAGACTGATAAAGTCATACAGAAAATGATTACACGTTATTGCTGGTAAAGGTGGTTCTGCAATCTATTGAAGCATAAGGTGTACTTAGTTTTTCATGCAAGGCTTCTCCATTTTGGCTTTATTTTTGTTAAATAAATCATGACACAGTGTATGTCATGTGTAGTTGTTCATCTTAGGTTGTATTAACCTAATTGTAAGACCTGCTTAGGATCAGTTGACTGTTCTTATGTCTTGATATGTAAAACCATAGAATTCAAAGAGGGAGTACTTTCTTTTTCCCATCACTGTATATATATAAGAGTATTGCAGTATGCAATTATACCTTTTTTATTGGATTAACATAATTAGTATTAATTATTGCTTCAAACCTGAGGAAGGGAGGAAAACTCTCGAAAGCTTGTCTTTGAAATATTATGTTAGTCCAATAAAAAAGGTATCATTGCATACTGCAATACTCTGGTATTTTGGCATCTTGTCTACTAATACGGGTAATCCAATCTACACTATATGTGTGTGTGTATATATATATCTGGGAATCCTTGCACTCAGGCTGCAGAGAAGTAAAGTGGCCGGGTACAATACCAGGGCTACAATATCCAAACACTGTATGAACGGCTGCACTCACGGTCTTTAAGTAAAATATAAATTTTATTCTAAAATTGTTAAAAGCAGGATCAACGTTTCAGTTCCTGTTGGGGACTTTGAATCAGAATTATGATCCTGAAGAAAGTCCCCAACAGGGACTGAAATGTTGATCCTGCTTTAAACAATTTTGAAATAAAAGTTATATTTTACTTAAAGGCCGTGAGTGCAGCCATTCATACAGTGTTTATATATATATATAGTTAATACATTGCTAAACACAAATACACCCACCAGTCAAGCCATAAGACTTGCTTTTCCCACAGAAATCTCACTACTGCAAGGGATTCTGGGTAGGAGAATGCAAATGATCTCAACCAAGAACCAAATTTTTGCCTCATAATTCCACTTTATACACATATATATATAGATATACAGTGAGGGGAAAAGTATTTGAGCCCCTGCTGATTTTGAACGTTTGTCCACTGACAAAGAAATGATCAGTCTATAATTGTAATGGTAGGTGTATTTTAAGAGTGAGAGACAGAATAACAAAAAAATCCTGAAAAACGCATTGTCAAAAAAGTAATAAATTGATTTGCACGTCAATGAGTGAAATAAGTATTTGATCCCCCATCAATCAGCAAGATTTCTATTTCAAGCTCCCAGGTGTCTTTTATACAGGTAACAAGCTGAGATTAGGAGCACTCTCTTAAAGGGAGTGCTTCTAATCTCAGCTTGTTACCTGTATAAAATACACCTGTCTACAGAAGCAATCAATCAGATTCCAAACTCTCCACCATGGCCAAGACCAAGGGGCTGTCCAAGGATGTCAGGGACAAGACTGTCGACCTTCACAACACTGGAATGGGCACCAAGCAGCTTGGTGAGAAGGTGACAACAGCTGGTGCGATTATTCCCAAATGGAAGAAACACAAAATAACTGTCAGTCTCCCTCGGTCTTGTGCTCCATGCAAGATCTCACCTCGTGGAATTTCAATCGGTGAGGAATCAGCCCAGAACTACACGGGAGGATCTTGTTAATGATCTCAAGGCAGCTGGGACCATAGTCACCAAGAAAACAACTGGTAACACACTATGCCGTGAAGGACTGAAATCCTGCAGCGCCCGCAATGTCCCCCCGCTCAATAAAGTACATGTACAGGCCCATCTGAAGTTTGCCATTGAATATCTGAATGATTCAAAGAAGAACTGGGTGAGAGTGTTGTGGTCAGATGAGCCCAAAATCAAGCTCTTTGGCATCAACTCAACTTGCCGTGTTTGGAGGAGGAGGAATGCGGCCTATGACCCCAAGAACAGCATCCCCACCGTCAAACATGGAGGTAGTAACATAATGCTTTGGGGGTGTTTGTCTGCTAACGGGACAGGACAACTGCACCGCATCAAAGGGTCAGTGGACAGGGCCATGTACCATCAAATCTTGGGTGAGAACCTCCTTCCCTCAGCCAGAGCATTGAAAATGGGTCGTGGATGGGTATTCCAGCATGACAATCACCCAAAACACACAGCCAAGGTAACAAATGAGTGGCTAAAGAAGAAGCACATTAAGGAGTGGCCTAGCCAGTCTCGAGACCTTAATCCAATAGAAAATCTGTGGAGGGAGCTGAAGGTTCGAGTTGCCAAATGCAGCCTCGAAACCTTAATGACTTAGAGAGGATATGCAAAGAGGAGTGGGACAAAATCCCTCCTGAGATGTGTGCAAGGGTTTTGCCACAAAGTACTAAGTCGAAGGGGTCAAATACTTATTTCATTCATTGACATGCTAATCAATTTTTAACTTTTTTGACATGCGTTTTTCTGGATTTTTTTTTTGTTGTTATTTGTTACCTTTATTAAAATACACCTACCATTAAAATTATAGACTGCCCACTGACAAAGAAATAATCAAACGTTCAAAACCAGCAGGGGATCAAATACTTTTCCCCCTCACTATAACATGTGTTCACATTTTTTCTTTTGTTAAACACTAGCCCTGACTACCTGGGCTAAAAAATTATTCTCTCAGCTACAAGTTGATTTTATCTGGGTACAATTATATCTATAGTAGCTTTACACTTTTAATAGTTACATGGACTAGTTCTAGCTGTCTTTCCTATAGACATCTTTAGGTTTATATTTGTTTTCATTTTTATTTTTGAGTGATTTTATAGTCAATTGCAGTTGAAGATTATGCTAGCGTTAGTGTATTTATAATCTTAATTTTAATAATGACAGGAGGTGAGTATTTTGCATAACTCTCTTTACTAAACTCCACAGCAGTAAAGAAAGTGAAAACATTTAACCAATCAAAATGCAATAGGGAGTATGATATTCCCAGTAAATAGGCTCTTTCCCCTCTTTCGGAGGCGACATCGTAAGCAGGGA